TCCACCATACTGCTTCTGATACTGTAATGTGATGTGGCATAGTACGTGGGACAGATGATAAGCACCAGAAGAATTAAGTGGGGGAGATGAGAAACATCTTTTCTAGCTAAGATGACCAGGGGAAGATTCACAGAGGAGATGAAATATATGACAGAAGGAGAGCAGAGCAAACACAATCGACAGTACTGAAGCAGCAGAGCTAAAGTGAAGACAGATTTTCTCAATATATCTGTTTGAGAATAAGAGTTGGGGCCAGGCTCACTCCTGTAATCCCAGCACTTTCCAAGGCTGAGGCAGGTGGATCACTTGAGGTCAGGAGTCTGAGACCAGACTGGTCAAAGTGGTGAATCCCTGTCTCTACTAAAATACAAAAATTCAGCCAGGCATGGTGTGAGCCTGTAATCCCAGCTACTTGAGAGGCTGAGGCATGATAACTGCTTGAACCTGGGAGGTGGAGGTTGTAGTGAGCCAAGATCATGCCACTGGCATTCCAGCCTGGGCAACAGAGTGAGACTGTGTCTCGAAAAAATAAGTAAATGTCTACTAGAGTGTCTAGGCAGGTAACAACGATGAAGGAAGCAGACATGGTGAAAAAACCACAGGGCAGGTGAAAAGTGGTGTGTCCCTGCTCCATCCAGAAGGGGCAGCTGCTCCACAGACCAGCCAAGTTGTTGCCATGTAGCAATGCAGGACCAGTGCTGCCAAATCACAGGTCACATTATTCAATAGCAGACAGAAATAATACTTTTTGTGTGAAACTTCCCAACTTAAAAAGCAATTATGGTCCAAACAAAACATATCTTTGGGCTAAATATAGTACATCAAAATTCAACCTGTCGTAAATCCTCTCAAGTCTCTCTAATTCATCAGAGCCTGCCAGAAAAATCTACCTAAATTTCTCAATTAAATGCACCCTCCAACACACCCTTCCAAAGCAAATAAGCTAAAGATTACAGACCCTGAAAATGTAATAAAAAGGAGAGAATCCTAAATATGAGCAAGGGCTGGGCGACGTGGCTTAAGCCTGTAATCCCAGCATGCTGGGAGGCCGAGGCGGGAGGATCACTTGAGCCCAGGTCAAAGCTGCAGGAAGCCGTGACTGTGCCACTGCACTCCAGCCTGAGCAAGAGCCAGACCTCGTCTCAAAGAAAAAAACAGCAACCGACTGTACCCTGTTTCATTTTATTAACTGACTGAAATTGCTAGTATAAAGGTTAGGAGGATTAATGTAAGCTATACAGTAAAGTTTCTAAATCCCCAACTACTTGAGAATTGTGACATTTGTCATAATCTAACCTGTCACATAAAAATTTTTCATGATCGTAAACATCAGATTTATCATCCATAGTACTATAACACAAATCACTTTACTCAATTTCCTATATCAGATAGATTTAGTGTTTACCTCATTGGTACACTGTAACTGCTTCAAATGTCTAGATGTGAATGTCTTTAGTATACTTACCAAAGTTTATGTAAATCTTCATTACTTTTGTTCCTTAGTTGCTGACGGGTCCATGCTGCTCCTATTAAAATGACAATACATAACATGAAATAATGTTTCTAGCCATGTGCCCTTTGGCAAATGATTAAAGCTCTCTAAACCTGTCTAAACCTGTTGTTTCCTTATCTGTAAAATATATAATTGCAGTGTATAGTACATAACATAATGTGTTTAGGGATAAATTAGGTAACATACAAAAATACTATTAACATGATTGGCAATAGCATTAAAAAAAATGGTAGCATTAGTAAGAATGTATTTTCACACCTTAATGACAAAATACGTTATGTCATTATAAATTTACTTTTTGGCCAGGCCAAGGTGGGCAGATCACCTGAGGTCGGGAGATCGAGACCAGCCTAATCAACACAGAGAAACCCATCTCTACTAAAAATACAAAATTAGCTGGGCATGGTGGTACATGCCTGTAATCCCAGCTATTTGGAAGGCTGAGGCAGGAGAATCGCTTGAACCCGGGAGACAGAGGTTGCAGTGAGCCCAGATCATGTCACTGCACTCCAGCCTGGGCAACAAGGGTGAAATTCTGTCTCTAAATAAATAAATAAATTTTTAATTATCGCTAAAAAATAAAATCTAAAATAAGCCCTAAACCTTACTTTAGTTAATAATTTCAACCTATTCCTTTTCTAACCATCTTGCCAATCTGCCAAGGAACAATTAACTCAACTATTATATTGTCCTTTTCCTTTTCTCTAGGGAGCAGTCCCAAAGAAAAATGAAAGAGGAAACATCTAAATAATTCCTGAACTGGATAAATAATCCTAGAATAACTGGGGGGAGTTCAATAAATATACCGAATACTGACCAATCCAAATATCTCACCAGATTTTACTTTTTCTTGCCCCCAGTTTTTTGGGTCATCAAAAAATTCTTCTAGTCCTTTCCTTGACAATGTGGTATGAAGTAATCTATACTGGTGAAAGGATGTCACACTTGGTGTACTTTTAGGCAACAAACTAAGAAAAAACCTGAAATTGAAAACATATAAACAAGTCATTAAAGTTTTGTAATATCTTGATTTTATAAGCAATAAACACTATCATAATAAACATAACCATTTGTCATCTATAATGTTTTAAAAAGCTACTTGGGGTTTCTGCATAAGAATTAAATTTTTTTTCTTATTTAGAGACTGGGTCTCACTATGTTGCCCAGGCTGGTCTCGAACTCCTGGGCTCAAGTGATCCTCCCACCTCGCCTCCCAAAGTGCTGGGATTACAGGCGTGAGCCACTATACCTGGCCACAATAAATTTTGAAAATGCTTTAGAAGATATTTTTAATATTGCATTATAGAAGCTGCTACCTTATAATTTCAGGTATGTTGTATAAAATATATTTATACAATTATATTTTAAGGTAACATTTTTGGGTCCTTCTTACATTGCTAATGGGTGCAAATGCAGGTAAAAAGAGCAGTTGATTTTGCAACATGTGGGCTGGGCATGGTGGCTCATACCTGTAATCCCAGAAATTTGGGAGGCTGAGGTGGGACAACCCCTTTGAGCTCAGGAATTCAAGACCAGCTTGGGCAAGATAGCAAAACCTCATCTTTAACAAAAATGCAAAAATTAGCCAGGCGTGGTGGTATGCGCCTTATAGTCCCAACTCCTCGGGAGGCTGAGGTGGGAGAATGGTTTGAGCCTGGGAGGCAGAGGTTTCAGAGAGCTGAGATCACACCATTGTACTCTAGCCTGGGGGACAGTCAGTCCCTGTCTCAAAAAAACAAAAATTAAACCCCCCCAAAATTTTGTAACATATATCAAATACTTCCTCCTTTAACTCAGTAATTCTACATCTAGAAATTTCAACTGAAGAAATTATCACAGATGGGAATTTATAAGTTAAGATGTGCATTAAAGCACTATATAGAATATCAGGTTTTTAATTATGTAAATGTGCAGCTGAGAATGGTTTAAAAAAGAAACAATCAGACAAATCCAAATAAAGAAGAGAGATGCTTAAAAAGCTAATCTCATCAAAATGTCAACAACGAGAGAGAGAGAAAAAAAAAACTGTTCTGGATTAAAGGAGACTAAAGAGTCATGGCAACCAAGCAATAAATAATGATCCCTCACTGGATCCTCAACCAAAAAAAAAAAAAAGAGGGTGGTGCGGTGGCTCACACCTGTAATCCCAGCACTTTATCAGGCCAAGGCAGGTGGATCATGAGGTCAGGAGATCGAGACCATCCTGGCCAACATGGTGAAACCCCGTCTTTACTAAAAAGTACAAAAATTAGCCAGGCGTGGTGGTGTGCGCCTGTAGTCCCAGCTACTCAGGAGGCTGAGGCAGAATCACTTGAACTGGGAGGCAGGGATTGCAGTGAGAGGAGATCACGCCACTGCACTCCAGCCTGGGCGAAAGAGAGAGGCACCAACTCAAAAAAAAAAAAAAAAATCTGACCTGCGCTACTGTTTATAAAATTCAACTCTATAGACAAACGCCAGTAAAGGGCAGGAAACCATACACGCTAAAGTAAAAAATGATCTCGCTCTGTCCAGACAAGAGTTGTCTTACACCTTGAAATAATGAACAGCACTTTGTGGATGCTTCTTTCTCACGCCTGCAGGGCGACTTTCCATGCATTTGCTATTTTCATTGTAACAAATCCTGTAAATACAAATATCTCTTCTTTTTTAACCCATCCAAACCTGACACAGGCTTGGGTATCGTAACAAAAACATCTTCGCTCAGGCCTGTAATCCCAGCACTTTGGGAGGCCGAGGCGGGTGGATCACGAGGTCAAGAGATCGAGACCATCCTGGTCAACATGGTGAAACCCCGTCTCTACTAAAAATACAAAAAATTAGCTGGGAATGGTGGCGTGTGCCTGTAATCCCAGCTACTCAGGAGGCTGGGGCAGGAGAATTGCCTGAACCCAGGAGGTGGAGGTTGCGGTGAGCCAAGATCGCGCCATTGCACTCCAGCCTGGTTAACAAGAGCGAAACTCCGTCTCAAAAAAAAAAAAATCTTCTGTGAAGTTTTTCCCACCTCACCTATCCCAAGAGGATGTTTCTGTATTTACAGGTTTATTTACTTCAACAAATGTTGGATATCTACAAACCCTATATACTGTCTGGTGCACAGCAGGCAGCAACAAAATGAGGAAGGAATAGAAATGTCGGAGGTGGGCGCGTTCTCCAAGGTCACTCCTCACCAAGGTGGGCTCCGGCTCTCATCCGAGCGGCCTTTCCATTCTTGAGTTGTTCTCGGCATCTTGGCAACCAAACAAGATTCAAAGTTGGAGAGATAGGCAAACTTACTTTATACATCACTTACCCTGTGCAGGCAGGGACCTGCGGAGTTATTAACGATCTGGACGCCTTCAGGGCGGCTGAGACTCGCCTGCAAATAAGTGCCAAACCGGCAGCAGCCATGTTTTCGCATAACTAGGCAAACCGCGTTTCAGCCAACGATGGCGTCACTTCCGGCGTCTAAGCCTACTGTGAAGGAATAGAAACAGGCTCTTGCCCTCACTTAAGATGGTCACCTTCTGCCTTTGTCTTCATTGGTAAATTCACTCTCTCAGCTTCCGTGACCCGCCCCTCTTCTTCCTCTTGCCCGTAGTAGCCATGGCGGCCATGAGTCTGTTGCAGCGGGCTTCGGTTACTGTGGTGGCAGCTCTGTCTGGCCGCCGCCTTGCCACCCGACTCGGATTTGGGGGCTTCCTCACTCGTGGCTTTCCGAAGGCTGTTGGTGGGTGCTGGCCTTGGGAGAACGGGCTTGAAGCGGGTGCGGGGCGAGAGATGGGAGGACGCTGCCAGGGTGACCTTGGTGGGATCCGGAGGGAGCAGGGACAAATGGTGGGCTTGGGGCTTGAGACAAGAGACGGAGCACCAGCTACATGAGGGGTTTTCCTGAAGTAGTCAGATCGATCGCGTTTACGTTATTCGCATTTATAAAACGTTGTTAGTCACCATCCCAACTGGTGCTAATTTGCAGATGAAGCTGAGGCTAGAAAGGTGTAGAGCCGAAACCTGTATTTCTCGGACACCAGCTTATTGTTGCGTTCCTCCTGCCCAAAGGCTCGGTTCTGGTCGCACAGGTGCGAAGTCATGTTGCGGAGAGGCCCACCCACGCTAAGGAGTATGAGGCAGGCGATGTGTAGGTAGGTAGAGAGGCTCAGGGCCGACTTCTTTAGGCACAGTAAGTACCGTGCCGCCCAGGAATGAGATGCAGGCATTTTGTGTTTGCTTTTGTTTTTGTTTTTTTGAGACAGTCTCACTGTGTTGCCCAGGCTGGAGTGCAGTGGTGGAAGAGAGGTTTTGTTTTTGTTTTCGTTGTTTTGAGACCGAGTCTCACTCTGTTGCCCAGGCTGGAATGTAGTGGCGAGATTTTGGCTCACTGCAACCCCTGCCTCCTGGGTTCAAGCGATTCTCCTGCCTCAGCCTCAGCCCCAGCCCCCCGTGATAGTTTTAGGGGTCCACAAAAATGTTTTAGTTTACATTTCTTTTTTTAAAAGACCATAATGTTTATGACTATAATCATTAATCCAGCCTGTATTATATTCACTTTATACCAGTGCAATCTTAAAATACGATTTTTAATAACCTACAGAGGAAGGGGCCTTTGAAGGCAAAAGTGCCTAGGTCTCAGGAGTAATAATACAGTCTTTTTTTCTTTTTGAGACAGAGTCTCTGTCATGCACACTGGAGTGCAGTGGCACCATCTTGGCTCACCGCAACCTCCGCCTCCCAGGTTCAACTGATTCTCCTGTCTCAGCCTCCCCGGTAGCTGAAACTACAGGCGCACACCACTAAGCTCAGCTAATTTTTATAGTTTTAGAAGAGATAGGGTTTCACCATATTTGCCAGGCTGGTCTCGAACTCCTGACTTCAAGTGATCCACCCGCCTGGGCCTCCCAAAGTGCTGGGATTACAGGCGTGAGCCACCTCACTCAGCCAATACAGTCTTAATAGGACTATTTGGACCTCCTTGGAGACTTTGAGTTGCAGTGTGGCGGTGTGAATGATCATAGCAAAGCTTCAAATGCTTGGTATTCAGTGTATTTTATTATCTCAAAGACTGCAAAGAAATTACAATGTTATTTTCATTTTACAGATGAGGAAACTGACTCAATTATTAAATAATGCGTCACTGTACTAAATAAATAATAATGACAGCCAACATTTACTGAACACCTGTTATGTGTCAAGCATCATTTTTCTTTTTTTTTTCCCAAGATGGAGTCTTGCACTGTCACCCACGCTGGAGTGTGATGGCGCAATCTTGGCTCACTGCAACCTCTGCCTCCTGCGTTCAAGCAATTCTCCTGCCTCAGTCTCCTGAGTAGCTGCAGTGACGGTGTGCACCACCATGCCCTGCTAATTTTTGTATTTTTAGTAGAGACAGGGTTTTACCATGTTGGCCAGGCTGGTCTCGAACTCCTGACTTCATGATCCACCCACCTCAGCCTCCCAAAGTGCTGGGATTACAGGTGTGAGCCACCATGCCTGTTCTCAAGCATCATTTTAAGGGTTTAAAGTATTCATTTATTTCATCCTCTTCATCAAATAGATACTGTATTTGCCCTGTGCAATAGAAGCAGATGAAGAAGTGAGACTTTAAAGTCAGAAAGTTGTCATCAGCCTCTAAATACGTTGTTCTGTTTTTACTCCCATTCCCCCATTTTAATTTGAATTATGCCACTCCACATGATGAAGCAATATACATAAAGATTTGCTGGAAACATGATGCAAAGGACCAGTGGTATTTAACACATTTCCAGCAGGAATTTGAACTTGTTGCAAAACGACATATGCTAACATTTCTGGATAAAAATCCCTTTATAAGCCAATTCTGATTACAGATATCCTCATGTAGCCTTCAAATACTTGCCCAGGTAGTATTCAGTCAATTAGCTGGGAATAAACTGCCTCAAAATTTCACCCCCAGTTTCTCTTTCTACATGATTGCCCTTTCTTGGAGTTCTCAAAGGATCTTTACTGTGTTCTGTGCCCTTTCCATTCGGAGCAGGGAAGGCTCTAATAGCTATCTTTACTAAAGGTTACTGCATTTTTCACCTGTGTACCTGCTTTCAGAGGTATTTGGCATCTATCACTGTGGTATGAAAGCTTTTAATCTCTTACATTGTTGTTTGTATCTGTCTCTACAAGAATGTGAGCTCCAGTGTAGGAGAGAACCTTGTTTTGCTTTCTCTGGAGGTAGACTGCCCATCTTGAGATTCTGGCTCTAGAATTTAGAAGCCATGTCTGCCATCATCACATCTTGGAAGCTGAAGTGGAAGACACCTAATTGCTCTTAACCTGCATTTCCTCTTCTTTAAAAAAGGCGAGAACTTTAACCTGCCTCAAAATGTAGTTGTGAAGGATGAGTGGAAAAAATCCACAGCAGCTGGCAGCATTTAGCCTTTAAAAAAAGTTGTGGTAAAGTATACATAAAATAACATATACCACTTTAGCCATTTTTAAGTACACAGTTCAGTGGTATTAAATACGTTCTTAATTCTGTGCCACCATCACCATCATCTGACTCTGTAACTTTTCATCTTGTAAAACTAAAACTCTGTATCCATTAAACAGTAACTCCACTCCCCTTGCTTAGCCCTGGGTAACCACCTTCTCTTGTCTGTCTTTATGATTTTGACTATTCCTCATGGAAGTGGAATCATACAGTATTTGCCCTTTGGTCACTTAGCAATATCCCCAAGGTATATTTATGTTGTAGCATATGTCAGAATTTGTTTCTTAAAGCTGAATTGTCCATTGTCCATTGTATGTATTTACTCCATTTTGCTTATCCATCATCTGTCAGTTGGGTTGCTTCCAGGTTTTTGTTTTGTTTTGGTTTTGGGTTTTTTTGGAGACAGCGTCGTGCTCTATCTTCAGGCTGGAGCGCAGTGGCGCAATCTCGGCTTGGGCTGCTGTTTCTCACCACCCAATAATGAGATGCAGATGAACTGGGGAAGAAGAGTTGTTTGTTTCTTTTTGAGACAAAGTCTCACTCTTGCCCAGGCTGGAGTGCAGTGGCATAATCTTGGCTCACTGCAGCCTCCGCCTTCTGGATTCAAGCAATTCTCCTGGCTCAGCCTCTCAAATAGTTGGGATTACAGGCACATGCCACCATGCCCAGCTAATTGTTGAGTTTTTAATAGAGATGGGGCTTTACCATGTTGGCCAGGCTGGTCTTGAATTCCTGACCTCAGGTGATCTGCCCGCCTCGGCCTCCCAAAGTACTGGGATTACAAACATGAGCCACCACGCCTGGCTGGAAAAGAGTTTTTAATTTCTGTAACTGGTTATAGGGAGAAGGCTTGAAAATTACTGCCCGACCAACTTAAAATTACAAAGATTTCCAGAGCTTATATACCTTTTAGGCTATATGTCTACATGGAAGTATGCATTCATCTAAAGACATAAACGATTAACTTTTTAAAATCTATAATTAAGGTCTGAGTCCTGAAGACCTTCCTCTGGAGCCTCAGTAAATTGACTTAATTTGAGGGGGTCCTCAGATTAAGTAATGTGATCACCCTTATCTTGGCTCCTGCTAAATCACGGAGGTTTGGGGAGTTCCTTCAGACCTGCAATAAACTTGTTTGTGAAGGCCTGGGGAGTTTCTTCAGACTCCAAATAAAACTTGTTTAACCCTAAATGGGTCCTGTTAAGAATTCTTCCAACTTCTGTCCTCAAGTGATCTGCCTGCCTCGGCCTCCCAAAGTGTTGGGATTACAGCTGGGCGCCACTGCGCCTAGGCATTTGCAGGCTGTAGTTACTGTAAGGCCTCGCTTAACCTCATCAGCTCTTGGAAACTGCGATCTTCAGAACCTGTAATAAAGAAGGAAGTGGAGTTGTTTAAGGACCTGCTGTATGTGGTTTCACTTAAAGTCACAGTTTCCAAGAACCTATCAGCGACATCGAGTATGACTTGTGAACAGTGTTTCTGTGAACATGGATGTACAATGTCTGTTCTGAGAACGTGCTTTCAGTTCTTCTGGCTGTTATCTGCAGAAGTGTAATTGCTGGGTCATATGTGTTATGGGTGTTACTGGCTGGGACTGGCTTTGTGAGTGGTAAAAATTTACCAAGACAGTCATAGGTGAAGAGGGCAGATTTGTTAGAGAAAATAGGAAGATAAAGTTGCAAGAGAACAGTGGGCAGCAGAGCAGAGAAGGGGCTATCTGCAGAGTGCGGGGTGGGAGGGGCTTTTATAGGGTCTTACCAAAGGGGCTGTGAGCAGAGAAGATCTGCAGATAAGGTCACTGCTGGGCTGTGTGCTGAACGAGGTATTTGGGAACAGGATGTCGTGCCAGTGGGTTGTCTGTGATTAGCTGTGCCTTAGAAGAATTGCTTTCCCCCACCCGGGGCCCCTTCTTGCTTAGGATTCCCCAGTGTGGTAATTCTATTTTTAAGTTTTTGAGGAGCCCCCTTGCAGTTTTCCTCAGCAGCAATACCATTTCACGTTCCTTTGTGTACCAACAGTGCACAAAGGTTCCAGGTCCTCCATGTTCTCAATGGCACTTGTTACTTTCTGGTTTTTTGATAGTAGCCATTCTGATGGGTATGCGATGGTATCATTGTAGTTTTTATTTGCATTTCCCTAATGATTAGTTTTCTTGAGCATCTTTTCATGTGCTTCTTGGTCATTTGTATATATATCTTTTTTTTTTTAGATGGAGTCTCGCTCTGTTGCCAGGCTGGAGTGCAGTGGCGTGATCTCAGCTTACTGCAACCTCC